GGGCATGGCTGCCAGCTCATCTAAGCCAGCAGGAGTTGTCAATTGCCTTGTCAGAGGAAGGAAAGCAGAACAGGCTAGACAATTGCGGCCAAGCTTTGCAGCATGTTCTTGGATCTAAGGTGGACTTTGTCAAACAGTATATTGTGGAAGGATTTTCTCGACCCCGAAACAATCAAAACAACTTCTCAGAACTTTTAAAACCACTGAAGTAGCACCTTTGGGACACTCTTCCCCACGTCGGGTGTCTAAGGCATCATCAAACGATTGCTCCCCACCCCAGGGAAAAACAAAACAAAACCTGAAACATATGTGCCACCCACCTTCCTCTGGGCTTGAACTCCCCACCAGAATCAAAGGCCCACATGGGGGTGCAGCCCTCTCAACTATGTAAACAATATTAAGAAGAAATTTTAAAATGAACAAAACAAAAACAAGAATCAGTCCATAGGAGAGGGATGACAAGCCCAAGGCCAATGGAAGAGCTTCCACTGGGAGCTATCGTGGCTTCCGAGTTTTCCAAGCGCTCGAGGCCTTAGCGTCCTCCTCAGGCAGTGAACTGTAGACAGCTGGCTGGTCCAAGGGCCTGAGTTCTAAGATTTGATTTCTCCTGAAGATATCAAAGAATACGGAACTGTTAGGACCCTATTTGTTTTGTTTTACATTTTCAGGACCACTAATAGCCACTAGCCAGGCATGTATATATGAAATTGACAAATACACATGTATCTTGGGCCCAATCATTTACATACTCAGTCATCGGTTAAGTAAACACTGGCTGAGCCCTGGAATACCAAAAGGCACTGAATGTGCACAGGAAACACGAGAGAGAAAAAGTGATGCCTTCTCCAGAAAGGCATAAAGGGTTTTTTAAATGAATTAGTTTGAAAGTTTGGCGGGAGTCGGGGTGGACCGGAGGAGAGCCTTTTCACAAACTGGTTTACCTGCCAAGTGGCCGATATAGCCAGGACTGGCCAGACACCTGCAGCTGCGTGCGTGTCTCCGACGTGGGTGGCAAGGCCATGCGCTCTGGCTGTCTCCCACTGCTTTCCCAGGTGCAGAGCGTGGGCTTAGAAGTGGAGCGGCTGGGGGCTGTGAGATATCAACACAGCGTGTAGCACTTTAACCTGTGCAATAGAATCCCTAGACCCTTCCCTAGATATTCAGAAACCTATCCCCCAAATCTTCCCAGCATGATACAACATGTGTGATCTCGACATAGTATGATCATGTATCTATGTTGGCCAAAATGTTATATTCATATGATTGGCCCATATTTCCGTTTTGTGGGTTAGGATAAGTACATGGTCCAGGCCTGGGTGTTGGGCGGCCCAGGCAAGGTAGCTCCATCTGTTCACAAGTGTGTGAGTTGCTTTTAGGAGGGGGCAGACCACACAGAGCCAACCAACCCTAGTTCACGGGCAAATGAAGAAACCAGGCTGGAGCACAGGTCATGCTGAGGTAGGCTACAGTACCTACTGGTTTGCATGAGCCAGGGATGGAAGCAACTGAGCCAATGTGAGGTGGGCCATGCCAGACTAAGCTGCAGCGTCCAGCTGGCAGGACGCTAGTGAGGCCCAGGAGGAGAGGTATGAGTCTTGTGGGGGTCTGCATGGTGCTCCTTTGCTGAACCACTCCCACTGGTGAGCATGACAGCTGGAATGGGGGCAGACCAGGCCTGGCAGGCCTGCAACATGTGTTGGCCTTCATGTAAGCTGGATCGGGGAAAACCAAGCTGGGCTGACTGTACCCATTATTATATGCATAAACCAGAGTGGGTGAAGGTTGGTTGGGCTTTGCTGCAGCCTCAGCTGGCAGATGCTGGCCTGGGTGCAAATTCTGTCAAGCTTGACTGCAGAACCACCTGGAGAGTGAAAGGTCTGGGTGTGAGAACAGACCCATTAAGGAACTAGTGGCACTTCCCTCTTGGGCTGCCACACCCACCGGTGAACATGAGAACCAGGACTAGGAGCAGGCATGGTTAGAGAGTGGCACCCACTGGCAGCAGTGCGGACTGGATAGGGGGCTGGTTGGATTGAACTAAGCTTTAATGCCCACTGCCATGTACAAGAGCTGAATGGGGTGTGGGACAGACTGGATCAGTCAGCGGTACATACTGACAGGCACATGAACCAGGGCAGGGGGCAGGACTGGTGGGGGTTACTGTGGGTCGTTCCAACTAGGCTGCAGCTCCCACTGGTTTACGTGAAGCTGATTGTGCAGTGGGGAGGATCGGGCTGGACTGCAACACCCATTGGCTTGCATAGAAGACAGGGCTGGAGTCAGAACTGACCCAGCCATTGTAATCACCAGTGTGTGCATTAGGCTGATTTGGGCGACTGACTGTGCCAGACCCTGTAATTGGTAAGCACACACAAGAATCGGGCCTGGATAGCCTCAGATGATGTCTCTTTGGGGACCCCCCCAGTTGAACCGCTGGACCCAGAACTCCAGCCATGAAGAGGATTGCAGGTTTCATGGGCTGACCGTGGAGTGCATGTGTCAGGGCTGGGCCACCTCAGTGGCTCAGAGAGAGAAGTGGACAGCATATCCGGCTGTACACGGAGGATATAGAGCCTGCAGAGGACACCTGGTATGTTGTCTGTTAAGAATCTAATCTATACACTACACAAAGTGCCTGAGGTTCAGTCCCAACTCCACTTCTTCTTTTTCAAATTTATTTTTATTGAAAGAAAGAGTTACAGAGAGAAGGAGAGACAGGGAAAGATCTTCCATCTGCTGGTTCATCCCCCAATTGGCAACAATGGCTGGAGCTGAGCCAATCCAAAGCCAAGAATCAGGAGCTTCTTCCGGGTCTCCTGCAGTACAGGGTCTCAAGGTTTTGGGCCAACCTCTACCGCTTTCCCAGGCCACAAGCAGAGAGCTGGATGGGAATGGAGCAGACGGGATATGAACTGTTGCCCATAAGGAATTCTGGTGCATGCTTTCACCAGGCTACTATGCCAGCCCTCCATCCCCACTTCTGATCTAGCTCCCTTCTATTGCATGACAAGCAGTAGCTGGTAGCTCAAGTGCTAGGGTCTGCCACCCACCTGGGGGAGACCCAGATGAAACTCCTGGCTCCTGACTTCAGTCTAGCTCAACCCCGGTTATTGCTGGCATTTGGGAAACGGACCAGTAAATGGAAGGCCTCTCTGTTCCTCCCCACTCTGATACTCGTCTTTTAAACAAATAAATGAATGTATCTTTTTAAAAAAAAAAAAGTTAACAATGAAATATGGTTTCTAAGTGCGTGAGCTGTAGGTTCTGGATGAAGGGCAAGGTGCTTCGAGCAATATCCCTTTGTGTAGCACTGACTGAGCTGCAGGTGCTCTCACTTGTCACTTCCTGTTGAGTAGACACAGGAACAGGACAATGAAACCAAAGGGCTCAACAGACAGAGATAATACACTGTCACAAGGCCCATCTCGGAATGAAGGACGAGCTGTCACTTCGGTTTGCATTTTGACAATGAGAGAGGACGCACCGAATTACTAAAAGGAAAGAATGAGACCCCTGCAGCGCCGATGTCTCATCAGACACGATGTGCTTGCTGGCAGGACAGAGTGAAATACACACCTTTAAAATGCTCAGTGGACTTCTTCAAATAAAATGTGAAGCAGAATTGGGTGGACATTCGGGACATGGCATGGCAGCCAAAACACAGTTTGCCTAGAGAATTTTCTTTCTTGGTCAGCCAGGAGCGTTACATCAGCTGCTCCAGAAGCACCACCTCCAGAAAGGACACACACAGAGAAAGGGAGGGGAAAAAAGGCTGCATGTGGAAATTCAATTGTATTTATTTTTCTTATACAGAATCAGAAAAGTAAAAACCAGTACCAAACTCCAGGTAAAACAGTTTGATCTGATTGATTTGGTTGCATATCCCTGTATGCTAACATTCTAAATTAAAAATACACACACATGTCATATAACAGAATGTAGAAGTAGGATTTTTTTTTTAAGTACTAGTACAGAAATGATGCAGTGGGTTAGGGAAACGGTCTCCGTCAATCGCCCATTTTCCCAATTAGTCTACGATGTCCTTTTCTGTTTCAACAGCTTATTTTTTTCCCCCCTATAAAAGCTGTCCTTTCCAAAGTCGCTTCTACCGAGAACTACAGCTTGAGAACACAACTTGGAAAGAGCAGCCACCCGGCCACCATCCGCAGGGAGCTCCTCTGCCACGTGGGGGCGACAGCACCCCAGGGCTTGGTCTCGGTGCTCCCCACACCTGGCCAGGAGAGGGATGGCATTTCCCAGCCTAACCCTTCTGCTCAAAACACCAGCTAGCAATGACTCAGATAAGAATCACAACCCACTTTCCAAAATCCATTTACTTTCAGGAAAATGCATCAGGAAAAGGATCCCTGGAGCATGCTAGAAGTTTTCCATTTCACGTTTAACATGTCCTTTCCATGGCAAAAAAAAAAGAAAAAAAAGAGGGGGGTTGGGGGGAGTCGGGGGACTACTGATTGGTTTCAGAATAAGACTAGCTATCCTGGCAGTCTTATGATAAGAAATATAGTATAAATAGCACCTTATCATGAATTCTGCAAGGGTTTTAACACTTACAATAATAGGAAACAGCCGTTTAAAAACCTGCCCTTATTTTAAGATTTCTGGCTTTAGTGTTCTTTAACAAAGGCCACACTTTATGGCCCTAAAAATAGCAACAACAAAATTATATCTGGCTTCCTCTATTAGTAAACACATAGTTAAGGTCCGTATTTTATTCTGGAAAAATATTTATGATATTTATTAATAAATGTTTCAACTCATTCTGCTACAAAAGTCTTAGTATTTTTCTAATGCCACAAGCTTACTAGAAAATCACTTCTAAGAATTGATAATAGAAATCATCAACGATTCAACTACTTAAAAAAAAAAGAGAGAGTGGGGTAGCTATTTCTTTATTTAAAAACCTGAAAATGAGTCTATAAAAATATTTTTTAAAAAATACAGTAACACTGCTGAGTTTTATTAGGTCCCTTGTTTTTCTTCTTCTTTTTTTTTCTTAGAAAGAATGTACAACTCTTTTTGCAATTTTTGCTAACAAAAGAGAAAAAGATATAGCGCTCCTTTTCGATGTAGTAGCAAGAGAAACACCATCCTCAACTGCTCCAAGGACACAAAAGGAAGGAACAGGGGACATAAAGCACGGGTCCTTCGGGGTAAAGGACATCCCTCCATGGTGTCAGAGGCCGCAGCAGGTCCACGCTCTTCTCTGCCTACTTCTTCAGCCTGGACAGGGCACCCAGCACCAGCCCTGCCCCTCTGCGTCCCACGAAAAGTGCACCAAAGCCTTCGTTTCTCCGACAAGAAAATTCTTCGGGTAGAAATGCTGCAGAAGAGAATCGCTGCTCTGTCCTTTGGGGTCCCCTCTCCTACCTCCTGCCCGACTTGCTCTGGGGGGAGGGGGAATCCTATCCCTTGTCCCTTTCCATTTCACAACAGGCACCGTGCCCACCGCATCCCATGTCGGCTCCACCTCGTCTCCCACCTCTGCACTTGCCTTCTTGCCCACAAGATCAAATCCGCTCTGTAGACCTACAGTCCTGTCGATCCATCAGGACCTCAAAAAAACATCCCCAACAAATAAGCTCCCCGCAGTTGGGAATTGAAAGGTTCCTCTCAGAGACCTGAATTACGAATGAATTTCAAACAAAAGATTAAATTCATAGACTATAAATAATGTCAGTTCAAAATATTCAACAGTTGAGGACTTCATTGGCCATGCAAATAGATGGCGTGCCAGCTCAACATGACGCGCTCTCAGTCCTTCAAAGCGAATAAACAATGGTTTTTGGTTACATAAGAGGTATTGAGTACATAGGTCATGCCTTTTGATACCAACTATAGCAAACAGGATTAGGCTAATACACTTAGCAATCAATTTTGCTGAATTCAGAAACATATGTCTCCACCATAGGCTTCTGCTTCATCCTTCACACAGTTTCATAGATAGGATTATTTTAAACACTTGACATCTTAAAAGCAGAATTGAAAAGCAACAGCTTGTTGAGTGTGCTTTCAGCAGAGTTGTAAAGACAAAAAGCTGCCGCTGCTTGATCTGCCAATATCTGACTGCCCTTTGCCCTCGACAACAAAATTACATTGCTCGATAAAATTATCAAATTCTTAGCCACCATTTTAAAAAAGATCCAACTTGTAAAAGTTTTGATCCACTCATGTTTGTAATTAGTACCAAACTGGTCTCTTTGCTAAGCTCAGAGGTGTAAGACCATGACGGCCACGGCTGGGGGCCTCCCGCTGGCAGTCCAATGCCATCTGGATACCATGCAGCCGAAAGGAATGGAGCAGGCAGGACGAGGCATGCTATGGTACGTGCGCAGTAAAAGAGCTCTCAGAGCCAGCAGGGCTTCAAAACTGCATTGTATCCCACACAGCAGAATCTTACCAGCCATAGAATGATTTTTTTTGTTGTTGTTGTTGTTCTAAAGCTCAAGTTAAAAAGATTTTTAAAGCATTTGGAACTGCTATCATCATCAGTATAGCCTTTGAAACCGTAAATCAGATCTAATTTTCTGCCCATTTCCTGGACCAAATTGCCTGTCTGAATGGTTTGTACTCAAGTGATGGATGAATTTCACCTAACACCCAGAAAGTTTGGCCGTGGGAGAGCAGATAGATAGAGGGAGATAGAGAGATAGACAGAGCGGGGGCAACTCTGCGTATTCTTTCAGAGGAATGCAGGCTTGCAGAAAATGAAGATAGAATATGCATTTCTGTTTAGCTTAAGTGAGTGTTGATGCAAACCAGGCAATGATTAGGCTGGCCCCGTGGGAAGGAGGGAGTGAGCATGAGTCGTGGAGGCAGAGAGGGGAGCACCTGCGCACGCACGCTTGCTCTGCTCCATGGCTTTTTCCAAGAGGCCCAGGAAACGTCAGGTCCCAGCTGCACCCACGTTACAACAGTAGTGGTCACAGCCAGGTCAGAAAAGGCTCGCTTTTGTTCAGAGCAGACTCGACATCGTTGAAGAGAGGGATCAGATCTTCAGATTCCAGCGTTCCTAAGTCAACGTTCGTCCCGGGAAGACAGTCAAGGAAATCTGGGAAACGGGTCTGCTGGGGGTTGATGCTCATAGGTGTCTGACCTGCATTTTCTCCTGTAATGAAAGCAAAGCAAACCATTGTCATCCCTTCTGTGAAGCCCTTGACAGACACAGCTCTCATTCTCAGGGCTTCAGCCAGCCCACTGCTGACCCTCATTTAAAACAGGTGCAATGATGCTGAGCCCAGCTTCTGCAAATGCACCTCCTGGGAGTCCATGGTGATGGCTCTAGTACTTCAAGCCTCATTACCAAATGGAGACTCCCAAGGAGTTCTGGGCTCTTGGCTTTGGCCTGACCCCGCCCCAGCCAGGGCAGACATTTGGGGCAGTGAACCAGTGGCAGCTTTCATTCTTTGTCTCTCTGCCTCTCAAATAAGTGCTAAAAAGATTCCAAGAGAGAGCCACGCAGGATGGCTCAATTGGCTAAAACCTTCTCTTGTATGCACTGGGATTCCATATGGGTGCTGGTTCATGTCCCAGTTGCGCTACTTCCCATCCAGCTCCCTGCTTGTGGCCTGGGAAAGCAGTGGAGGACGGCCCAAAGCATGGGAACCCTGCACCTGTGTGGGAGACATAGGAGAAGCTCCTGGCTTCAGATCAGCTCAGCTCCAGCTGTTGCAGCTATTTGGGGAGTAAACCAGCGGATGATTCCCTGTCTCTCCTTCTTCTGTAAATTAGTACATCTTTCCAATAAAAATAAATACATCTTTTTTTAAAAAATTTTTAAGAATTAAATCCATTCTTTTAAAAAAAATCTCCCTATGGGCTTTTTTTTTTTCTTTTTTCTTTTCTTTTCTTTCTTTTTTTTTTTTTTGGCTTATTTAATTGCTTTTTATCTTTATTGGCTCCCCAGTGTTTAGAAGATGAAACTAAACAACGTTTAAACACAGGAAGGAGCTACCTAAGACTGTTCCAAAGGCAGTAAAGTAATTTTCACACCGAAAAGAGAGAGAAGACAGAACATTGAAGTCAAACACCAAAGGAAAGGAAAATGAGCAATTCAAACTATTCTTGCATTGAGTCCTCGCAGGACAGACCAGGTTGGCCCCCGAAACTTTGGATGAGGTGCTCCAGGGAAAGCCACGTGGGCAGCTCCAGCATGGCACTGGGCAGACACCTGCCTACGAGTGTGACTCTGTGACCCAGCCACAATTTGGGTTCACAGCACAGGGAGGAACCTTCTACAAGAGCCTAGCAAAACACAGGCACTGTGAGCAAATGCTTGAGGAAAACAACTTTTGCAATTAATACATTTCTCTGAAAGGCTGAAAAAGAAACAAGATGGACAGATGAGAAAAGACCTCCACCTGCTGGTTCACTCCCTCAGCGCTTGGGCTGGACCAAGGAAAACTGGCAGCCAAGAACTCCATCCAGGTCTCCTGTGTGGGAGGCAGGGACTTGAGGGCTTGAGCCATTACTGCTGCCTCCCAAGGTGCGCATTCGCAGGAAACTGGAACTGCAAACAAAGTTGAGACGCAGACCAACGCACTCCAGTACAGCTGCGGGTGTCCCAAATGCTGTCTTCAAACCTGTGCCAAATCTCTGACCCTGAGAGCATCTTTTATTTTCTTTCATCACAAAACAATTAACCATCATCAGTGATGATGATGGAAAAAGCGAATGAATTACTCCAAATACTGCACACCTCAGATGTCATTTTTTGGCTCTAGGGTATCCTCTGGCAGGTCTACCATGAGGTCCAAGATGATCTAGAAGAGCAACTTTGCATTTTACAATTGGAAGCCCCATTTCTTAAGAACAGGACAAAAGGCAACAATATCAGGGAAGCTTGCTGCGGGCTGGGTTGGAGGAGGTGAAAGTCACCTTGGTCCTGTTTCCAAATGCTGAGGCAAAATGTTGTCCCCACCCTGGAACTTAGAGCTGGCCACGTGGAATCCCCTGAGTTGCTTTGCTTTCAAATGTCCCTGCTGTCTACTTCCCAAATGCAGTCAGTGACACGAAAAAATTATGCACAGTGATAGAGCCACATAAACCAGGACCACGTCCCAAGAGAAGTGACCCATATGTTACAACTATAATCTAGCATGACACCAATACCCACTGTAGAATATGATAAAGCAGATAAGGCTTTCTTAATGGTAGTGATGAAGGGGCTATATGAAACAAGGTCAAGAAAACAGAGTCGAAAATCCTGTTCCCAGGAGCGGCTGTTGGGGCAACAATAAGATGCTACAGGAGATGCAGCAAGTGTGGCTCAGGTAGGTTGAGTCCAAGCCTCACCCACTGGAAACTTGGCCTGAGTTCCTAGCTCCCTGCTTAGCCTGGCCCAAGCTATTGCAGGAGTTTGGGAATTGAACCTTGCATGGGACATCTCCGTTGCCACTCCTTCCCCTCTGCTTTTTCAAATAAATAAAAGTTAAAAAGAATTTAATTAGGACTTTGCTTTTTTTTTTTTTTTTAAAGGCCTGGTGTGTGTCTGTGTGTGCGTGTATATCACTCTATTGGAATTGGCTACGGAGCAGGGGCTAATCACTAGTACTGGGTACTAATCATCGGGTGGCTTTCCAGTTGTCACTCGATGCCGCTACTGGGCACTAGTGCTTCTGGTTGGATTTTAGGGCTGAGGTGTCTGATGACACTATTGTCAAGCACGACCACACTGCACGCCATTGCAGCTTGTCTCCTACCTGTATCCATCTCCTCCACATTGCTGAGGAAGTCCTCTGGAGTTGTGGGGACGCTGTAGCACCCTAACCCCAGGCCGCTGTCGGTGCTCTGCTCCCGGGAGTGGTAGGGCCCTCTGGAGGGCAGAAGATGGACAAATTCAGACGCAAGCCCGCGAAAGAAGTTTGACAATGAAAGTACAGTCACAAAAACGCTAGGCTAGTATGTCCCAACAGTCTGCCTAACTTGCAAGGCAACAAAAGGAAGCAGAGTTTGTGTCTCCCTTTAACTTTGAAATATGTTCTAAGTCCATTAAAATAAGTGGTAACCACATAAAACTGATCATTCGTTGGGGCCAACAGCGTGCTGCCACCTGCAGGAGGAACATCCCATATGAATACCAGTTTGAATTGAAGCTAGACTGGTTCTAGTTCAGTTTGCTACTAATGTGCCTGGGAAAGCAGTGGAAGAAGGCCTGAGCACTGGGCCCCTGCCACCCTTGTGGGAGACCTGGATGACGCTCCTGGTGCTTGGTGTCAACCTGGCCCAACCCTGGCTACTGCAGCCATCGGGGGAGTGAACCAGCAGTTAGCACATCTCTGTTGCTCCCTCTCTTTCTGGTCACTCTGCCTTTCAAATAAATAAATACACCTTTGACAACAACAAAAATAAAATTGCTAATTTACAGGACATTGACACCAATTTCATTAACATGGACACCGTTCTATATATAAAGTGTGACACAATTTACATACATTGTTTTCAAAATAAAAACCGATATTGACTCAGTATGGACACATACGCTCATGTGCACAGGAATGACAGCCTTGGTTGGCTGTCGCAAGCAAACCAGTGAAAGGAAGGTCTCTGTTTCTCTTTGTCTCTCTGCCTTTTAAATAAAATGAAAATGAATTGATAAAAAAAAAATTATATGTGGTGGACACACCACCTTCCGAATACCAAGCCTACTTACTAGAAGAAAGAAAAAAAAAAAAAGAGAGAGATCTCAGTGGCAACAGGGATGGGTTCAAATATTAACTGTAACACATTATTTACATAAAATACGATTAGGCGGAAATGCGGCAAACGTGGGTGCTGGGTGCCTGAGCGTCAGTCTTTACGCTTTTCCGTACAGTCATTACTTTAAAGTCAACAACTTAAAAGCTCCTTTCCCCTCATGATTTCTGCTGTTTCTCCTTTTCTCTAATAGCACTTAAGACTGTACTTGTTTGTTTACCAAAAATATCCGCCGAGGCAGAAAAGATAGGAAATAACGTGTTGCTTGTGTTTCAAGGACTACAATTCAAGTTCACCATTTCTACTCATCAGGATATTTCCACTTAACAACTTTTCCTTCTGCTGTTGGGTTTCAGTTTTTAACAATCAGTTGTTTTAACTAATTTTTTAATTTATAACTTTGGGTTCACATCAAAAATGCAAGAAAAGGGGAATGAATTTCCGGTGGCATTCATGCTCTTTCCCCAATAATCTTTCACATTGCCGGAGAGCAACCACTGACTGTACTATCCTGCTAACTACAGACCTTCTCCACATCTCAGAAATGCTCCCTCTTGCTTTGCTCTCAATTTGTCATATTACAAACTTTCATCCTGCTGACTCCTTCAAACCACAGGATTCTCGTAAGTGTAATTCTAGACAACATCACCTTGTTTAAAATCTAAATCCATTTCTGCTTGCAAACTATTGACTAGGGGTTAATTCCACGTCTGACAGCTCTACCCACTCATCCCTCTGTACTCATCTCCACCCTCTACCTCCACACCTGTTCCAGTGTAAACAGAGACCATCTGATGATCCAGATCACATACTACAGACAGCAATGGTCCCCAAGCACCGACTCACCCATTGAGGAAGGGGTCTGAGCTGTTATTGGTGACAGACCTCATGTCGGGAGTCATGGCAGGTGGGTTGACCGCAGCCTGAACCGTGGCCAGAGTGTCCGCTTCCATGGGCAGCTGTCTGCAGAGAGCAGCCTCCTACACGATGCGACAAGCAGGGGGAGAGGTCAGTTACTCAAGCATCACACAATTTGGAGCACAGTAAATGTCACATGACATCTTTTCACCAAATACAAAAAAGCATTTTCTGCTCGTTGCCAGCTAAGTCCCAATCATCAGGAAATCATTAGCGCAGAAAGTCTTCCAGACTTAAGTCGCTTTATCACATCCACAAAGCAAAGGGGAAGCCCAGCTAATATTTGGCCTCTGATCGCTTATTTTGCAACTGCCCCAACCGTGCAACTGTTTAACTGCCCAAACAGGACAATGACCCCCTCAAGGCAGTTTCAGAGAGTAGATTATCTTTACCCAGCTTCCCAGGAACCAAATCAATCAAAGCCATCAGATTCCCCTGAACTAACATGTACAGTCTGGTCTTTGCCACTCACAAGCCAGCAAAGCCGGCTCCATATGGAAGTGTGTCTGACTCTGTGTCAACGGGTAGGAGAAAACAATCATAGGTTTTTAAAAGTTTGTTAGAAAGTCGGTGAAGGGGCTGGTAGTTAGCAGATCAATCAGGACTCTGGAGTGGGCTGCCTCTCCTGTGAGAATGTTGGGGTGTGTGGAGCCAACTCCAGCTCCTAACTCCAGCTTCCTTTTAATGGAGACCCTGGAAGCAGCAATAACAGCTCGAGGATCTGAACTCCTGCCATCCGTAGGGGCCACCTCCCTGGGCTCCCACTTTCAGCGTGGCTACGGAGCATCACAAGCACTCAGGGAGTGGATCACAGATGGGGGTCCAAGACACCCCACCCCTATCTGTCCGTCGGTCTCTCCCTGATTGGCTTTAAAAAGCTAATCAATGTTAATCAAAAATTTTAAGGGTCAAAAAAAAATGCCAGTCAGTTTTTCATCTGACAATTTTGTTAACTAAAATAGCTGAGGGTTGATAAGACTATGTAGATCCAATTCAAATCCCATGGACTTAGGGTCTCAGTATACTTATCACACAAAATATATAATATGTATATATAAAATATCACATATCAATACATACATAAATATATTATATGACATACAATGTTTAATAAATATATCTCTTATTTTTAGAAAGCTGGTGCTACTTCGCCAAGGAGAGTACACCCCAAAGGCTCCGAATTCGTTGACTTCCATTTACTTTCAGGCAGTACAAGCATCAGAAGTCTGACCCATTTTGACACTTTGGTGTGTTGATCCCTGCATCTCACGCCATGGCAGACCCATGCCCAACATGTGCCAAGGGCTCTTCCTCTTTCCAAGCTGAAGTCTGTGTGTCTCCTCCACCATCCCTCAGGCCCCAAGACTACAGACACCATGACATACGGAAAATGACATCATCTTGGGGGAAGTGTCTTGGTTGGCTCTCTTCCTGGGAAGAGTTAACTGCTATCTCGATAGCTCCCAGGCAAAACCAGACAGCTCCCAGTTACAACTTTCCATTGCGAGTTCACTCACGTTATGATATCACAACTCTTGACAAACCACGAGCCCTGACTGATAGGAAATCAATCTACAATGAAATAAGGATCTGTGGTTCATTTCTGTTCACGCAGTTGGCAAGTAATCAGAATACTTCACACTTTTTTTCCTATGTAGCCTATGAGTAGCAAACAAAATAAGATGAAGACTTATTTAGAGATGATTTCAGTCCATCATTCAAATCCTGGGGTAGCTTCTAAACAAATCTAGAAAAAAAATTCTGATTGTTCACATGACAAACAGTGTGCATGAGTAACCTTAGTGTCTAATTCACACTTTTCTGAATCAATTTGAGCACAGCTCTAAGCAAATACCTTTTCAATATGAAAGTGAGTGATGGTGCATTTCTTTATACTTTTTTTTTTTCAATTTTATTGGGAAGGCAAATTTATGGAGAGAAACAGACAGAAAAAGGTCTCCCAACCACTGGTTCACTCCCAAAATGACTGCAACAGCCACAGCTGAGCCAATCCAAAGCCAGGAGTCAGGAGCTTCGTTTGGAGTGGAGCAGCTGGGACATGAACTGGCACCTATATGGGATGCTAGCACTAAAAGGCAGTGGGTTAACAAACTTAGCCATCCCACCAGCTCAATCTTTATCCTTGACTAAATTTTACTGCTATGTCTTAAAAGTATGGTTTGAATTTGTGATTTTCAGGAGGTCAGAATCTAAACATAGTAAGAATAATTTCTGAAATTCATGGGGTTGAAAATACATAATTTATTATCAGTAATGACATACAATATGAAAATAAGTTTTAAAATGTCAGAGAACAGATGTAAAGCATGGAGTTCCACATTTTCTTTTCTTTTCAACAGTATTTATCTAGGAATCTGGGAGTCGAAGAGAGACAGGTAAACCAAGTTTATTGCTGACTCCCTCTTCAAGTGCCTACAGTGGTAGCAATTGGCCCAGGAACTCCAACCACATAGGTAACAGGAACCCAACTGATTATGCCACAGCCTCTGTTTCCTCATATGTGCATTAGCAGAGAGCTGGTTCTGGAGATGCAGTCGGGGGAATCGAACCCAGGTACTGTGCGCTGTTGGGCAAGGGCATCTTATTGGCAATTTGAATCACTTCGCTACACACTCACTCCTAAACTTTCTCCTTCATTTAAATTTCTCATGCATATAGCATAAAAACAATGCTGTGTGTGGCCCATTAGATACATACATTATAAGAAACTGTTATTCATAATCAAAACTGAAAGAATCTATATGTACCACATTGGGAAAAAAAAGTCTCACTGTGCAATTTCACATTTGTTCTTCTCTGTTTTAAATCAAAGAGAACTAAAATACTGTCAGTCAACATCGACGACTCCCAAGTCATCAGAGAAGGAAATGCTACATTCTGTCTGTAGGTGGCTCACACTTACCACTCTCTACCTCCAAGGATAGAAACTCAAGAGAAGCAGAAAGGATGCTGCAGGTGCCTGAACAACAACTGGGGAAATACAACTTCCGCTGGCCTGCGATAAAGTCAGAACCTTATCCTAAGATCCTTCTCGAAGGTCCTGCTAATCTAAGCCCCGCTGGGCGGCCAGGGCTGCCCTCCCTCCCTGCTTCTCTGCCATGCTCCCTCATACATTCTCTCCCATTAATACGTGTCCTTTCAGCTCTTCCCATTTCCAGCACCTGCACCAACTGTTCCCTCTGCTGCGACCCACTCCTGAGATCTTCCCTAAATTCACTTCCTTCTTTACCATCTGCCACCTACAAATGCCATTTCTTCTGGGATGTTTCTTCCTGAGCCTTGTTTAAAACAGCCTCATGGTGGTAGCATAGAGGCTAAAGTCCTTGCCTGACACGCACTTGGATCCCGTATGGGCACTGGTTCTAATCCTGGCGGCCCTGCTTCCTGTCCAGCTCCTGCTTGTGGCCTGGGAACACAGTGGAGGATGACGCAGTGCCTTGGGACCCTGCAGCTGCACCTGTGTGGGAGACCTGGATGAAGCTCCTATTTCCTGGCATCGGATCAGCTCAGCTCCAGTCACTGAGGCCACTTGGGGAGTGAATCAATGGACAGAAGATGTTCTTTCTATCTCTCAACCTCTCTGCAGATCTGCTTTTCAATAAAATAAATATCTTTTTAAAAAATCAAACAGCTTCATGTTTTTCATTGCCTCCTCCTTAACCTGCACGAGTTTTCTTTATAGTAACTTCAATTCAAATGTAAGCCCCCCCAGGTTTCTTCAGTCCAGCGTCCCCACCATCTATCACCTTGCTAGGCAAAGGGTGGGTTACTCAGTGCAGATTTGCTCCACAAGTAGATGAAAAGTAGGATCAGAATCCAAATCCGATTCAGGTTTAAGTTAGGGTGAATAATAGAAACAAAAATAAATATCCACTCTCACTTTCAAAGACAAATTTGAGTGCTCTCTTGCACAATTCCGATCGTCCAGGTGCAAACTCCCCATCCTTAGGAGATGCTCCCACAGCACCCCTTCCTGCTGCGAACACCAGATGAACAGGAGGAAAAGAGGGGCCAGGAGCAGGACCTCTTGGGCCAGGTGCTGGGATCTGAGGCTCGGCTGGCCCTGCCAACTCCCAGCCAGTGACTATGCCCGCTACATCTCAACTGTAAAGGAGGGTGACGAGGCAGCCACGGGACAGGGATGCCGTGATGACCAAGCAAAGTATCTCCTGTAAGGTGCCTGGCCAAGGGATCACCTTTAAAGTTTAATTCTTCTCAAATTGTGTATTTCTGCTTCAGAAGACAAAAGCAAAACTAAAATAAAACAATTTTAAAACCCCTCTGCTGTGTGGAATGGATCTACTCCGGATGAGAAACTTCTTTCTGGCCAACCTCGTAGAGACTGAGCGAAGTGTAACACCCAGCATCAGGCGCCAGTAGGGCCAAGAAAGCAATAGATATATTGTTCTCTGTATATCTCTTTCAGATATACAGAGAGGAGAGAGAGAATATCTTTCATCTGCTGATTCAGTCCCCAAGTGGCCACAATGGCCAGAGCTGCAATGATCCAAAGCCAGGAGCCAGGAGCTTCTGGGCCTCCTACGCAGGTGCAGGTACAGGGTCCCAAGGCACTGGGCCACCCTCCACTGTGTTCCCAGGCCACAAGCAGGGGCTGGATGGGAAGCACGGATGCCAGGACACGAACTGGCGCCCATACGGGATCCCGGTGTGTACAAGGCAAGGTGAGTGCTTTAGCTGCTAGGCAACTGCTCCGGGCCCAGATTGAGTTCCAAGCTCCTGGTTTCAACCTGGTTCAGTCTAGGCTATTGCAGACATTAGGAGAGTGAATTCACAGAAGATCTCTCTCTGTCTCTCTGTCTCTTTCACATCTCTATCTGTCCCTATGATAAATATGTGAACTAAATGGACAGTGGTAAGCAGTTTCATTTCACTCAATTATATTTTATAATACAATAGTACTATACTTAGAACTATTAAAATTCCAGCCCTTTTTTTTTTTTGGAATTTGTGCCTGTTTATGAATTGAAAAAAAATGAGCAGTATAAAAACCCAGTCTAACCTCACCAAGTCATCCCCAACC